TTGTCCGGAGAGCGGTCACGTGACGCACGAAGAAAATCAGTCGACGCCTCTATCAGAGTGTAAGTGGAGAAGCCGATACGAAGAAGTGGGGAAGTTAGTGCACCCCTCAGAAGCACCGTGAGAGAGTGGGAGTGAGAAAGGAGTTACCAAAAATGGAAAAAGAGTGGAAAATCCATAACCAGAAATAAGAAGGGTGGATACGTATTTAGAATTATCGAGGAACCCCTGGCGCCGACAGACCCACCCCAGTTTTGGCGGCGTCAATAAAAGCGAGACCCAACCGACGAAATCAGTTTGAGTTCAGCCGCGGACCCTGGCGAAAGTTTTGAGCTCGGACGACAAGCAGAGTTGAGCGCCCAGTGTTGAAACCACATCAAGATAGCTGACCAAGATTCACGCACACTTTTGGACTCTTCTTCAACCAAGAACAAGTAGTTGAAGAGCGACTTAGGACCAGACCACAGAAATAAGTTTTTCGACTTTCGTCCAAAGACACACCGAAACACAAATTTCTTAGAGAGTAGACAACTTGAAGCGTTAAAATTTGCCTAGCGAAAGCGTCGTGCCACAATCCAGCGAACGGGTCGGGAAGTAGACATAGTCCTATGTATCGAACAAATAGACATAAAAAGTTTGTTACCTTTTTCTTTGATACTTTGAACTTTGTGAGTTTTCATTTTATTTTCTTTTATACATATTTGTGTGTTATCACCCCTGTTGAACTCAGCTTGCATTACGGCCCCAACCCCTGTTTGATCTTGTCTGTCTAAGATCAATTCACAACGTGGGTAGGCAGACTGGAGATAAGTGCAGTTACCCTGGTAACCAGGCGTTGGAAGCAGGTTGGGAACGGCGAGGCTGGTATCAATCTAACCAGATTCCTACCCGAATCACCAAAGGGTTAGAACGTCACGTTTGGAGCAGCGACACCCGGACGGAGCAGCGAGGAGCGAACAGCTGACGCCGCGGCGAAGACGTCACAATTGGTGCTGTTTAGGGACGTCACAACTGGCGCCGTGGTAGATCAGGATAGAACGTCACAGTCGGCAAGATTTAGGAGAGATAACAAAAAGATAAAATTTACTAAGAGCTACAAAGGACAGGAAATTGTGGAGAGACATGATCGCCAAGGTTCTGAAGAGATACGCTACATAGAAAAAGAATGAGCTTGTGTAAATTTATGGCAAAAAAGATTTAGGAGAGATAACAGAAAGACAATTTATTAAATACTACAAAGGACAGGAAACTGAGGATAGATCATGATCGCCAACGTCCTGAATTCCCACAGTAATTTCCATGTTGGTCTGTTCCACTGGCAAACACCCACGAATTCCGTCTTCTTTTAATTGATGTTTAGTCCTTTCTTTTCGCTTTCCTTCACTAACGTCTGTAGGATTTTTTGTAATTTCCATTCTGGATCTGCTATCAACACTATTTCATTTGCATATCTTACGTTGTCCTGATTGTGGCCACCAATAACGAATCTCAGATGCCGGAAAATCTCCTCAGATATAAAGAAGAGACCTGAAGCAACAGAAATGTGGTTCTACAGAAGGATGCTGAGGATACAATGGAGCGAACATATGAGCTGGCCATAAATTTGGGGGTCAATTTTCTATTGTCATCAAGTAATAAACTGATCCCTCATAACTACTGCATATCAATGATAAGCAGCTTCCTGAATTTGTGTGAAAAATATTTCAGCTTTTTTCTTTATAATGTGGACCGTTTGAACACTAAAAATAATATTGTCCTTCGTATTTAGAAAGTGGCAAATTTCATACTGTGGGGGATCGATTTTATATTGTCATCAAGTAATAAACTGATCCCTCATAACTACTACATATCAGTGATAAGCAGCTTCCTGAATTTGACGAGGCAAGTAGCTTTATGGAGATGTCTGTCAAATGGTCGGCGAGAAGTTTATGGTTTTAATGATAATATTTCTAGGGAATCCAAGCTGTTTTATTTGTACATGAGAGTAGATCTTTAGGAAAATAAGTTCCCGGAATATGACATCTGAGAAGGGATCTAATGGCAAGTAATTAAAAAAAAATAAAAGACATGTTTGCCTTGTACAAATTGAGAAAATCGACCACTTCAAATCAAAACGACTCTCTAAGTAGGACGTTAAATAAATATTGCGTGTGTGTCTATCCACAAATTGCTGGCTTGTGAAGCTCTTAATAAATTTTCTCTTCATGTTGTATTTCCTAAACCTTTTCCCGCCACACATTTAGTCAAGGCCGCTATGTCTGATGTGCTTTGTTATCCTCTGTCCTGCTGGCCTGAAATGTACCTTGTGAATATCGAATTTTAAAAGCCCTCTTTCCTCATCACGTACCCCAGAAATTTCAACTGATGTTAAGAAGAAGTGGCCTTTTTGTTTCCGTTGTCTCTAAAAAGCCGACGTTTCTCGCAGGGTCTAAATTAATCTCTGCATCCTCCGATAGAACCACAATTCTGTTGCTTCATGTCACTTCTTTGTCTGCGAGGAGACTGTCCAGCAATCAGGGCCATATAGGAGGACTGATATTACATAACAGGCCAGCAGTTCTTTCTTTGTGTGGCCAAAAGTAATTTCCTCATCTGTGAGAAGATTGTCCAGTATTCACTGTTATATAGTAGGATATATATTACATAACAGTTCAGAACTCTTTTCTTGGTTTCTCTTGCTTCAAGTCTCCTATTCATCTGTGAGGAAATTGTCCAGCATTCACTGCCATATAGGAGGATTGATATTACATAGCAGTTCATCACTCTTTTCTCTGTTTCTCTTACTTCAAGTCTCCTATTCATCTGTGAGGAAATTGTCCAGCATTCACTGCCATATAGGAGGATTGATATTACATAGCAGTTCAGCACTCTTTTCTTTGTTTCTCTTGCTTCAAGTCTCCTCTTCATCTGCGAGGAAATTGTCCAGAATTCACTGCCATATAGGAGGATTGATATTACATAGCAGTTCAGCACTCTTTTCTTTGTTTCTCTTGCTTCAAGTCTTTTCTTCATCTGTGAGGAAATTGACCAGCATTCACGGCCATATAGGAGTATTGATATTACATAGCAGTTCAGCACTCTTTTCTTTGTTTCTCTTGTTTCAAGTCTCCTCTTCATCTGTGAAGAAATTGTCCAGCATTCACTGCCATATAGGAGGATTGATATAACATAGCAGTTCAGCACTCTTTTCTTTGTTTCTCTTGCTTCAAGTCTCCTCTTCATCTGTGAAGAAATTGTCCAGCATTCACTGCTATGTAGGGAACTGATATTACATAGCAGTTCATCAGTCTTCTTTGCTTCTGTTGACTCAAGTTACTTCTTCATCTGAAAGGAGATCACTGCGATATAGGAGGATTGATATTCCATAAGTTTTCAGTAATGTTTTGATACTCATGTTTAAAGGCTCTTCTTCATTTGCAAGGAGATTGTCTAGCATTTATAGAACTGATATTAAACAACTGTTCAGTACTTTTTGTTGGATTCTAACAAAGTAAATGAAACCTATTTTTGCGCATGTGTTTTAATATGCCGGTTCATTTTTAATATTGACCTTTTTCTTCGATGATTGAAAATCAAAATTCTTTTTTATTCATTCCTACAAAAACAAGAAAGAACACTCACGGCAATATACAGGTTCGTTTGGGGACCTTGTGGCACGTAGTGCACCATGTCTCTGTATTCGGCCCTTCAAAAAGTGTGGATGGTCCTGCACGAAACATTCACCACTATAATCAAAACTGATGTGCTGATGTCGGGCTGTCAGTTTCCTAGGAACTGATCTGCTTGACCCTCATACGTCGAATCGAGACGGGTGAGTCGACTATATATATATATATATATATATATATATATATATATATATATATATATATATATATATATATATATATATATATATATATATATATATGTGTGTGTGTGTGTGTGTGTGTGTGTGTGTGTTAAATCCCAGATCAGATCTTTAGGCAAAACAAATTGGTGTGAGATTACAACTGAAAACATATTTTAGTTTTTTTTTTGCCGACGCTTTTCATCTTCCGACTTTTTTCAAGGCAATAATGAAATTGTAATTTTTGCTTGTCATATTCACTTTACAAAATCCAAATTTAAAAAATCGAAAGACGAAACGCTTCGCAAAAAAGTAACATTCTTTCCAATTTTCCTCATATATATATATATATATATATATATATATATGTGTGTGTGTGTGTTGTGTGTGTGTGTGTGTGTGTGTGTGTGTATATAGTAACAATTGATATATATATATATATATATATATATATATATATATATATATATATATATATATGTACGTATACGGAAAACTGATCTGCTTGACCCTCATACGTCCAACGCGACGGGAGAATCGATTTTTTTTTTATATCTACGTATGTATATATAATGCTAAGAATTTCTTTGAATGAGAAAATAATCTTACATGGTCAGCAGTTTGAACCAAGCTATCGTCACGATAAACTCATGATTCTTAAACCTAAATTTCTCTCATAAGTGTCGCAAACAGTATTTTCCGACCGATAGCGTCAAATAGTCACAAATCGAGCATATTGAGATTCAAGCCAACGCCTCATAAAAAAAACGCACAATATGGAATTTGCGGCATAAATACCTCCCACATTTACCGGTACTAGATACTCCCGCACAATATATGATTAGATCATACATACAAATAACATTTGTCACTTTCACCCTTGTGCAAATTAATTGTAACAGCCCCTTTCGTTTCTTTTCTTTATTCTCTTTTCGGTGTGTCTGATGAAATTTGTTTGGTCTTGAAAAATATTATGTCATCCATGATTGCATCGGGTTTTTATCACCCCAAGACACTATTGTCTCGACTGTCGATTAGTTGTGCTTCGGTCATTGTCTCCGATGGACGTTACTCGAAGGAAGCGTACGAAAATTGTAATGCTACACGAATACACTGGCAAGCCTTACAGAGAGTTCGTGAACTCTACGACAAAAGAGAAACTTGTGATGGCCATTATAGACGTGTGGTACCGTGACCCCAAAATCGATGAGGACAACTCAAATTAGTGGATTCCATGCCAAATCGCACCAAAGAGCTTCTAAAATATAAAAAGGGGGGAGGACATACGAAGTACTAACATGTGCACTGGCTCATGTTTCATTGGAAAAATAACGGAATTTTTTGTTGTGTTTCAGTTAATTTGCATAAAGGTGTAAATAGATAGATAGATAGATAGATAGATAGATAGATAGATAGATAGATAGATACAAACAGGCTGAGATAGATAGATAGATAGATAGATAGATAGATAGATAGATAGAAATAGCCTTAAATAGATAGACGGGCAGTCAGACAGATAGATAGATAGATAGATAGATAGATAGATAGATAGATAGATAGATAGATACGTGAACAAATCAAAGTACTTGAAACTGGTCTGAAAACTCTCCAGAATCGAGAATCTGTGGTCAATCTACAAGGAACGACTTCGTGGAATGGACATACAAAGTACTAACATGTGCACTGGGTCATGTTTCATTGGAAAAATACGAAAGAAAATGTAGATAATAACCGAATTATTCGTTTTGTTTCAATTAATTTGCACAAGATAGATAGATAGATAGATAGATAGATAGATAGATAGATATGAAAGAATAGACTGAGATAGATAGATAGATAGATAGATAGATAGATAGATAGATAGATAGATATGAAAGAATAGACTGAGATAGATAGATAGATAGATAGATAGATAGATAGATAGATAGAAAGAATAGACTGAATAGATATAGACTAGATAGATAGATAGATAGATGATAGATAGATAGATAGATAGATGAGATAGATAGATAGATGATAGAATAGATAGATGAGATAGATAGATAGATAGATAGATAGATAGATAGATAGATAGATAGATAGATAGATAGATAGATAGATAGATAGATAAGAAAAGGCTGAGAGAGAGAGAGAGACTGGTTCGGAAACTCATGATTTAAATCCAGCGGAGAATCTGTGGTCAATCTGTACTGGGTCATGTTTAATTGGAAAAATACGTTACTCCAGGGAAGCATACGAAAATTGTAACGCTGTCAAGCCTTACCAGTGAGTAAATCAAAGTACCATAGCCTGGCTTGGAAACTCTCCTGATTTAAATCCAATCAACAATCTGTGATCAATCTGCAAGGAACAACTTCGTGGAATGGACATACAAAGTACTAACATGTGAACTGGATCATGTTTCATTGGAAAAATTGAATAATAGTGAACTATTCGTTTTGTTTCAATTAATTTGCACCAAGCTGTAGATAGATAGATAGATAGATAGATAGATAGAGAGATAATGAACTGACCGATATACATTGACTAGCTAGGAAACTCTCCTGATTTAAATCCAATCAACAATCAGTGGTCAATCTGCAAGGAACTTCGTGGAATGCACATACGAAGTACTAACAAGTACACTGGGTCATGTTTCATTGGAAAAATACGAAAAAGAAGTAAATAATAACGGAATTATTCGTTTTGTTTCAATTAATTTGCACAAGGCTGTATCCCTATGTCTGTTTATATATATATATATATATGTATATATATAGATATATATATATATATATATAACAGGTCTTCCCATGTTCTGTCCGAATTTTAACTTTTTGTTAAAATGAACGAAATTTAAAGAGTATTTTATAATGTCTAATAGAGCTGAACATTATTTTTATGTTTAGATGCATTTAAACTAATCAAATTGTATTTCAGAGAACAATAAAATTAAATTTTGTTTTATTAAAACCCTGCTAACATGGAAGTACCCAAGAATCATTTGAGGCACATAATGCTTTATGAGTTCAAGAAAGGAAACTCAGCAGCCGAAGCGGATAGAAACATTCACTCAGTTTATGGAGAGGAATGTGTGAATGAAAGAACTTGCAGAAGATGGTTTGCAAAATTCAGAGGTGGAGATTTCACCCTTGAAGATGAAGATCGAACCGGACGTCCAGTTGAGTTTGATGAAAAGCTTCTTGAAGCAGCACTTGAAGAAAATCCTGCTTTATCAGTTGAGGAATTGACAGTGGTCCTCAGTTCAAACCATACAACTGTTCATCGTCTTCAACAACTTGGAAAAGTTCCTAAACTTGGAAAATGGGTGCCTCATAAATTGTCTGAAAACAACCTCAAATCTGCTTTTCTCTCCATTCTCGCCAACTTGTTTCACCTTTTTTGGATAGACTTTTTACTGGCTACAAAAAAATGGAATTTTTATCGAAATGTTAAGCGTCGTAGACAGTGGCTTGGTAAAGGAGAAGGACCCCAGCCACAGCCGAGAAGGGAACGTCATGGACAAAAGGTTCTTCTTTCAATCTGGTGGGATCGCCAAAGAATAATCCACTTTGAATTCTTACCACGTAATGCAACAATTAATGCTCAAATATATTGTCAGCAATTAGAGCGTTTGAACCAAGAAAAAAAAGACCTGCTCTAGTGAATCGAACGGAGGTGATGTTTCATCAGGACAATGCGCGACCCCACACAGCAAGAATCACGTCACAAAAGATCGAAGAACTTGGTTGGGAGAAAATTCCTCATCCACCTTATGCTCCCGATCTTGCTCCTTCAGACTACCATTTGTTTCGTAGCTTACAGAATCATTTGGAAGAAACAGCTTTAGTAACACAGGAAGAGTTTAAACTGACATTTGTGAGTTCTTCGAATCAAAGCCAAAAGAATTTTACAGTAATGGAATTAGTAAACTTGTTAATAGATGGAAGGAAGTCATAGATAATCAGGGAAAATATATTGTTGATTGAATCTGTAAATAATTGTAACATTTGGTCACTTGTTTTCTTTATTCAAACTTCGGGCAGAACTTATGGGATGACCTGATATATATATATATATATATATATATATATATATATAGATAGATAGATAGATAGATAGATAGATAGATAGATATGAAAGGATCTGGACTCGATTTGACAGGAATTATTAGATTAAATCAAACAATATTCGTACCATAGGCCTGAAGCTTATGTATAAAATTAGCATACCAACTGCTGTCAAATACCTTCGAACTTGATATACCCATGGAGTGATAGCTGCACGAATACGCTGGTACTCCTTACCAGTGAGCAAATCAAAGTACTATAGACTGACCCCGAAACTCTCCTGATTTAAATCCAATCAAGAGTCTGTGTTCAATCTCCAAGGAACGACTTCTTGGAATGGATATACGAAGTACTAACATGTGTACTGGGTCATGTTCATTAGAAAAACACGAATAAAAAAAGTAAATAACGGAATTATTCGTTTAGTTTCAATTAATTTGCACAAGGGTGTAGATAGATAGATAGATAGATAGATAGATAGATAGATAGATAGATAGATAGATAGATAGATAGATACTATTGTTTCGAATGTCGATTAGTTGTCCTACGGCCATTGTCTACGATGGACATTACTCCAAGAAAGTATACGAAAATTGTAACGCTGGCAATACTTAACAGTGTGCAAATCAAAGTACTTTCGACTGACTTGGTAACTTTTTATGATTTAAATCCAAACAAGAATCTGTGGTCAATTTGCAAGAAAAGACTTTGTGGAATGGACATATAAAGTACTAACAAGTTCACTGGGTCATGTTTCATTGGAAAAACACGAATAAAATAAGTAAATAATGGTATTATTCGTTTAGGTTCAATTAATTTGCACAAGGGGATAGATAGATAGATAGATAGATAGATAGATAGATAGATAGATAGATAGATAGATAGATAGATAGATATTGTTTCGAATGTCGATTGGTTGTCCTACGGCCATTGTAGCTGACAGTAGTCATATCCGCACCTCAAATCCAGAGATTTGTAGAAATTTTTCGTAATTTTCCGGTCCAATCTTCAGGAGGTTTCACCGTTTGAATATTTTTTCATTATTTTCATGGTTAGTTTGACATCACAAATTCATGAGCGACTTGAGATGATATTGCGTTTGGGTTGGCCTTTTTCGTGCGTATACGTGCGTCTGTGTATTCTATCGCATTTCTGGCTTGTGAAACTCTCTTCTAACTTCTTGTTTCTCATTCAAATTTAAATGCAATGTCAATCGTTATGTTCTGTATTCTTAATTTTACTTCTGTCATTGCTTTTCTCCTTAATTATAGTTTATATTCTCTAAGAATTCAGTATCCCAGGAGGAGGCTTTGCCGAAGGGTAAAGTTTCGTCCGGGGAGGTAGACAGATCCCAAACCCACTTATGCGGGTTTGAAGGGAATATTTTGGGCCGAGCATATAGGCTCGGAGAAACCCACGTCAAACTCGGCCTTGTGCCACATACATTCCTCGTCGGGGGACTGTTAAATATCGTCAGTGGACACGCAGTCTTTGAATGTGTGCGAATTCTGTCGAACTTTCTGCTTTGGCAGAGAGGAACCCGGACGAAACTTTGACCTTCGGCAAAGCTTCTTCCTGGGAGGTAGACAGATCCCGAACCCGCTTATGCGGATTCTATCAGAGCCTCTGGGCTCGGAGAAACCCATATTAAACTCGGCCTTGTGCCACATACATTCCTCGTGGTGGGGGTGCGACTGTTAAATATCGGCAGTCGGGGCGCAGTGTAACCTAACAGGTGGTACGGACACTTCTGTCTTCTGACTAATAGCACTCTTATTTTGTATATATGTTCTGTTATTTCAATACACTTGTTTAACATATCTTATTCTTTCTGTATCTTTCTTTCTGGCCCCTGACAGGCCACAACATGTCCGATCGGCATTATTTTGCAACCTTGAAAATAAATATTACGTATTACTTTAGTAGCGATTTAATATGTGTGCAAGACTCATAGCTAGTATAGAGAGTTTAGACCTCATTGTATTGGATTAAATATATATATATATATATATATATATATATATATATATGTGTGTGTGTGTGTGTGTGTGTGTGTGTGTGTGTTTGTGCGTATGTATAATCAAGTATGTATGCAAATGTAGCAGATTCCGCTTGACCACGTGGT